CCTTTTCCTTGGAAATCTGCCTGAGGTCCGTATCTCTCAGAGGCCATCACATGGCTGATCCACTGCCCAAGAGAAAGCCCCTCGAGCAAAGAATTAGAAATCAGCGGCTCTGGCTTTGCACTAAATCAAATGACCTCAATCTACTTATGTAACCAGTCACTTTTTCCATAGGAAACGGAAATAATAATCCTTCCATTCTTTCTCCTTTGCAGTCCACTCCACCAGCACTACCCTAGGTGAAACACGGTAAGCTTCCCAGAGCTAGGACTATTCCAAGCTCTGCAGGTGCCTGGCTGACCGCCCTGCGGAGGGCATCCTGGCCGTCCGCCAGTGACGTGAGGCCGGTTTGCATCTGTGCACACACGCGTGGCTCTTTTCAGCTTTCCATCCAGCCTTCCCCAGCTGGCTCTGTCAGCCCCATCCATGCCTATCGACACTCATTCCTAGTTGCTCACTGATGCTTCCAACTTGGTGTCTGTGGTGAAGGCGAAGGGGCTTTCCTTGGCCACAGATGCACCTGCAGCTTACACGCAGGACACGCCAGCGAAGACAGTGGTGCAGAGGGCAGGTTGGCTGACGCCGCTTGTGTTCTGCAATCACTTCTAGGGTCCTCAAAGGCACTGAGCTGAGCTGCAAGTGCCCACTGCAGTGACAAGGCCACAAATGCACACTGGATTGGTGGCCATTCCTTTGCCATCTCAGTCCCCACTCTGCTACCTGTACATCTGGAGATTGCCTCCTGAGTAGGCTACTGTGCACAGGCCTAGCCTTACGGCGGACTTGGGAAACCCCAAATAGCAGACTCTTGGAGCGCAGTGACAGCTTCAGCAAGCTGCTGTGTAGCGGAACTGAGGGACAGCCCCACTCGCTCCCTTGCTTCACTTTCCTTCACGAAAGTGTAATAGTCATCACCCTTTTCATTTCATGGCTTGTCTCCCTTCCTGAGATCTCTGGACATTTCACCTTGCCAACTCTCAAGCTCTCTTACACTTCCCGTAACTTGCCCAGCGCCACCTTCTCTATTTTCCATTGCCTTCCAAAGTTTGAGATTATCTTTGGAAAATCTCCCTCTAAGCTCTCATTTTATTTTTGAGTCTCTGGAATTTCTTAACTCATATCTGAGAAATGAATGATCACTGGAGAGGGAAAGTTGCATTTTCCAAGTATCACTGAGCATAATAATAATCATCGCCTTCAGCATCCCTAACACTGGGAAGTGTCCCTGGGATCCTCAGCATCAGCAGAACACTCTTCCTCGCTCTTACACATTTTCAGGATGTAGCAGCCTTTGAGGAGGCCGTGGCTGAGTGACGTGGCCCCCCCAGTGCAATTGTAGGTGGAATAGTGAAGGAGCTACAGCTAAAGGAGGGCTGTGGCTCATATCCGGGCACCAGCCAAGAGCTCCTTCACCATGCTTTTTATCTCTTTAGGGCCATGTGCCTGTGGAATGCGACGTGAACCAAAATAACCCTCCACTCCTTCAAGTTGAGAGTGTCGACTGCTTCCCTCCTTTCAAAACAGGCTTGAGACAGTACCACCTTCTGAAGAAAGGATAAATTTGCAGTAAGAACAATCCAAACACCAGCTGTCTCGTGAGCTCTTTTCCCACTCTGGGGTTCCTAGCGGGTTTCTGCTTCCCTCGAGCTGCACGTTCCGGGACTGTTGGAGACTTTTCTAGCCTGCTGTCTAAGTGACCCCCGCCGCTGCTCTCACTGGAGACCTGCTTATGTTTGAGACACTTTCCTCTAAAGCAAACCACGATGCCTTCTCATCATCTTACCCCACCTTTTCCAGATCCCCCAGCTGATGCTGCTGGGCAGCTGCTCGGTGCCGTGCTGCTGGAGGGCCAGCCTTTCTGCCGGGGTCCTGTGCCACCACCGTTCCTGGCGCTCCTCCGCCCTTGAATTCTGCGAAGCCCTCAGGCGTGTGCGTTGATGCAGAGCCGACACCTGCCCGCTTGCCTTCTGCGTTGCTCTGCAACTCCAGTGCTCTAGAGGCTTCGCCTCTGAGGTTGTGAATTCAAGAATTTCTACCCACTTCCTCCTTAACAGTGCCCACGCGTGTAAGCACCCACGTCTCTTCCATGGAGCTCTGGCGTCTTCAGGGCACTCTGCCCTGCCTAACTTGGGGAGTGGTCCAGTTCAGCTGAAGCCAAGCTGCAGGGTCTCTTTCCCCAGCCAAAAAGTTGCCAGTGGATATGAGCCCTGAGCTAGTCCAGTTAGGATCAAACTTTTGCTTGTAAAATCAAGAGAAAAGCACCTTTTCTGCCCCTGACGGTCAGGAGAGCAGGAACCTGTGTCTGGCATCCGTCCCATAATCAACCAAGCGCCCATGGCAGAGCCTGCCAGGAAACCAGCTGTCCTTATTGAAGCATTGCCTTGGACAGCTCCTGCTTGCGTTACAGAGCATCACCAGACTAACTGCAGGACTTCCCTTGGAGAGCAGAGGTCTGTGTCTGCAGCATAGTCCGGCTACACGTGCACACCCACTGGTGGGGAAGCCCTCCCGCATGCCCACTGGTGGGGAAGCCAGCCCACGTTCCCACTGGTGGGGAAGCCCTCCCGCATGCCCACTGGTGGGGAAGCC